ACATATTAGGTTTGTTCTAAATATTACAGTGTATATTCTCAGCTTATTACTGGCTACTCAGGATTAATTTGGAACTATATCAACCCTTGGCAAATATAAGGCTTTCAAAACTTCTCATCTTTTTCTTATTTATTTTTTGACAAAAATTGTATATATCATGTGCAGTATTTTTATTTTTAAAGACTTTCTTATTATTTGATTGGATGTTAGAGTGACACAGAGAAATCTTCCATATACTGGTTCACTCCACAAATGGCTGCAGTGGCTGAGGGTGGGCCAGGCCAAGGCCAGGAGCCTGGAACTCTTTCAAGGTCTTCCATATGGGTGGCAGGGGCCCAAGCCCTTATGCCATCTTGGGCTGGTTTCCCAGGTGCATTAGTAGGGAGCTGGGTTGGAGGTGGAGTACTCTGCATGTGAACTGATGCTCATGCAGGATGCCAGCTTAACCTGCTGTGTGGCGCCAGCCCCATGTGCAACATGTTTTACCATAGTCATTATCATATACATGTAATTTTTTTGTGGTGAAAATACTTAAAATCTCTTTTAGAAACCTATAAAACAGTGTAATCTTAAAACAGTGTAAGTACATTTAGGGTATCATATATTTTACTTCCATATAAGTTATAAGTGACAGTAATGCATTTTTTTTTTTTTGACAGGCAGAGAGGACAGTGAGAGAGAGACAGAGAGAAAGGTCTTCCTTTGCCGTTGGTTCACCCTCCAATGGCTGCCGCGGCCAGCGTGCCGCGGCCGGCTCACCACGCTGATCCGAAGCCAGGAGCCAGGCCCTGCACCCCTGGTCTCCCATGGGGTGCAGGGCCCAAGCACTTGGGCCATCCTCCACTGCACTCCCTGGCCACAGCAGAGAGCTGGACTGGAAGAGGGGCAACCGGGACAGAATCTGGCGCCCTGACCGGGACTAGAACCCGGTGTGCTGGCACCGCAAGGTGGAGGATTAGCCTAGTGAGCCGCGGCGCCGGCCAGTAATGCATTCTTTATGTTTTAAGTAGTAATTTATTTTAAAGGAGAAGAATACCCATGCATTTCCTGTTTCCAATGCACTTCATTTCTTCTTGACATTTCACATTTCCGCCTGGTTTCATCTGATTTACTTCAACTTAAAAGACTATTTAAAAATATTTCTTCTTGTGCAGGTTTGCTGGTGACTAATTTTCAGCTCTCTTCATCTGAAAATGATTTGTTTTCAAACCTTTTTTTAGAGAATAACTTTGTTTGATATATAATTCTGGATTGGATTTTTTTTTTTAACCTGTACCCTCATTGCTCAAAAATTATCTTTCTTTTTTTTTCTTGTGGGTCACCACTATTACTGACGAAAAGTTTAGTTTCACTATATGACATGCTTCCAGTGATTGATTTTATATGTGTGTGTGTGTGTGTGTGTGTCTGTTTTGGCTATGATGTGCCTAGTTTTAGTTTCTTTGCATTTCTCTCTTATGATCAGATTGCTAGAGTATCTTCAATTTGTAGGTTGATATTTGACCAAATTGGGACGTTTTCATCCATCATTCGAAAATTTTTTTTTACTGTAGTATTGCTTTTCTTCAGTTAATGGGGCTCATCTGATTTAGAAGCTTTGAAATCTTGTCTTCTCATTCAAACATCAGGGGCTTCTTGAGCCTCTGACATCTTTGTTTCCTGACTGTGGGTCACATTTATTGCTTCTTTGCGTGTTCTACAATTTGCAATTAGATGGCTTACATTAGCCAATTAGATGGTTTACATTATAAATTAACATTATTGAGAGTCCTAGTATTTTTGAGAATGTTGACACAGTTAAGTTATGGGGAGCTATTCTTAATCCTTCCTAGGCTTGGTTTTCAGTTTTAGGCTGGTCTGGAGTAGTCTGTACTTGAGAGCGTGGGCCTCACTTATGAGACTTGGTCTTTGTAATGCCTCAGCTGGGTGCCTTGGATCTCCCTAAGGCTCCTCAGCAGGACTGGACCAGACCTGAAAGTCCTTCAGTCCTGTGCAGCCTCCAGGATCTCATTACCCGTTATCTGCAGAGCGTTCCAGAGTATTCTCCTTTACACGTCACCCAGTTTTCTGCCCTGCTGCCTTCTCATCGTCACCCACTCTGGGACACACTCATGTTTGGTACTAATGTCCTGCAAATTCCACTCTTCTCAACAGCTTTAACTCTGTAGTCTGTGGTCTGTGTGTGCTGCCTGAGCCTCATGCTGAGGTCAGGAAATTATGCTGAGCTTGGGTGAGGGTGGGACCCACCTGTGTGTCTTTTCCCAGGGATCACAGTTTGGGCTGCCTGTTATCTGATGCCTGCAAACAGATTTTGATGCCTGCAAACAGTTTTGTCCAGCTGTGTAGTTATCTACAACAGGAGGGGTTGTTCAATATCAGTTACTCTATTACAGCTGGAAGCAGAGATCTCACTCAGTTTTACATATGGTAAACAGGAGCTCACAGTTTCATCCACAAATAGAGTTTGGCAAAAACCCAGAAAGTTCATAAACAGGTTGTGTTATAATTGTATTTTGGGGGTTGCTTAATATTAATTAGAAAATACTCAAAAAAAAAACCCTTTAGATTATTATTAGATTAATATTAATATAGTATAGAAAATAATAGTAGAAAACCCTTGTTATGGTTAAATTTTTTAACTAATTTCAGAAATAGGAAGTCCTTATCATTAATGCTAGTTTCTACATTAGTGGCTCACTTTTGAAGTCAGAGCGTCTTTAATGGCCAAAAAATAGGAACCCACTCAAATCTCTCAAGCAAACGAAAGTAGACCACGCAGAGTTATATATTTACTACAGAATTGAGTGATGATTTATGGCTAAGTTTTCTACAGGAAAGATGGATGGGGCAGAATCTTCAAGTCTTGAACATTTTCCTGAACTTTAGTGTTTTCATCTGTGTATTAGAAAATTTCATATCTAACTTCTAACTCGTACGGCTGATGCCCTCTCCGAATTTCTTAGTCTTCTGAAATTGCATTTTTTTTAAGGCCCAGTTCAAATGTTACATAAAAATTATTTTCCTTGGGGGGGGGTAACAGGAGTGTGCATTGTATTATCAGTTCTGTGATGCTTTACTGTATAGAGTGAAACATGATAAATATTTGAAGAAATGAAGATCAAGTGAGAATGTGTATTTGAAAAGACTTTGAAAATTATTACATGTGAACATGAGGAAGATATTTTTATTAAAATGTTTTACTAATTTTTGAAAAGTATTCTGTTTTTCTGGTTTTGAATTGAAGATTTTATTTTTTTAAAGATTTATTTTATTTGAAAGGCATAGTTACAGAGAGGCAGAGACAGAGAGAGAGGTCGTATATCTGCTGGTTCACTCCCCAGATGGCTGCAGTGGTCAGAGCTGTGCCTATCTGAAGTCAGGAGCCAGGAGCTGCTTCCAGGTCTCCCATGCAGGTCCAAGAACCCAAGGACTTGGGCCATCTTCCACTGCTTTCCCAGGCCACAGCAGAGAGCTGGATCAGAAGTAGACCAGCTGGGATTCGAACTGGTGCCCATATGGGATGCTGGCACTTCAGGTCGCAGCTTAACCTGCTATGCCACAGCGCTGGCTCCCTGAAGATTTTAGATAGGACTTTTGGAACTTTTTGAGTATCTTTTTTTTAAGGATTTATTTATTTATGTGAAAGGCAGAGATATGGCGAGAGAAGAAAGAAAGAAAGAGAAATAGAAATAGAGAAAGAGAAAGATGTCTTCCATCCGCTGGTTCGCTATAACAGCCAGAGCTGGGCTGATCTGAAGCCAGGAAGGAGCCAATAGCTTCTTCGGGTTTCCCATGTGGGTTTAGGGTCTCAAGGACTCCAGCCATATTCCACTGCTTTCCCGGGTACATTAGCAGGGAGCTAGATCGGAGGTGGAGCAGCCTGTTCTCCAACTGGTGCCCACATGGGAGGCTGTCACTGCACGTGGAGGCTTAACCTTCTGTGCCACAACATGGCCCCAAGTATTTTATTTCTAATTGAGGTGATTTTAAGTTGAAAGTTCTAGATTAGTGAATGTTTATTAGTTTTTGAAACAGTGGGTATATGCTTATTCCTTTAGTTTTAAGAAATAATCAAGCTGGCACTGCGGCTCACTAGGCTAATCCTCCGCCTTGTGGCGCTGGCACACTGGGTTTTAGTCCTGGTTGCCCCTCTTCCAGGCCAGCTCTCTGTGGCCAGGGAGTGCAGTGGAGGATGGCCCAAGTGCTTGGGCCCTGCACCCCATGGGAGACCAGGAGAAGCACCTGGCTCCTGCCTTCAGATCAGTGTGGTGCGCCGGCCACAGCGCGCCAGCCGTGGCGGCCATTGGAGGGTGATCCAACGGCAAAGGAAGACCTTTCTCTGTCTCTCTCTCACTGTCCATTCTGCCTGTCCAAAAAAAAAAAAAAAAGAAAAGAAAAAGAAATAATCAAACCCTGTAATTTTTTTTTTGTGTTGTCTTTGGTAGAATAATGGTTAATTTAAAAGACTACTGTGTTTTTAAATTTTTAAATACATTTATTAAATTTATTTATTTTTGAGAGAGAGAAACAAAGAGAAAGTAGAGACCTCATAACTGCTTATTCACTCCCCAAATACCTGCATCAGCTATAGGCTAGGATGAGCCAAAGTCAGGAGTCTGGAACTCAGTCTAGGTCTTTGATGTTGGCTGCCTCCCAAAGTCAGAATTAGCAGGAAGCTGGAATCAGGAGAGGAGCAGGGACTCAAACCTAGGCCCTCTGCTGTGGGTGTGGACATCCCGGGTGGCATCTAACTGCTGTGGGTGTGGACATCCCGGGTGGCATCTAACTGCTGTGGGTGTGGACATCCCGGGTGGCATCTAACTAACTGCTGTGGGTGTGGACATCCCGCGTGGCAACTAACTGCTACGCTTAATGCCCACCCCTTGCTGTGGACATCAGCAAATAGCCGTAATTTATTGCCCAACATTTTGTTACGTTGTCTAATTTTTCCAAACATATTTTGCATTTCTTAGCTGACTGATTTTCTTTTCATTTTCCAGCTCTCTATCAATAGCACCTCACGTCATTAAAAAGATAACTTTGAAGACATGTTTTGCTGAAAAGACAGCTGAGCAAAATTTTCACGAATGGGATGAACACGCTCCAGCTAACTGACTACCTACTGCAGTTTGAATGTTGACGTTGCCCACTTGGTGCAGCACCCTAGTGATGTACCTGCTCTCACAATACCCTATTTCAGTGTGCTGGTCTTGATTCAAGAATTCAAAGTGGAGTACCGCAAACTTGATATGGATAATAAAAAGAAAGACAAGGACAAATCAGATGACAGAATGGCTCGGCCTAGTGGTCGGTCGGGGCACAGTGCTCGAGGAACCGGTTCTTCTTCTTCTGGAGTTTTAATGGTTGGACCTAACTTCAGAGTCGGAAAGAAAATCGGGTGTGGCAATTTTGGAGAATTACGATTAGGTGAGTTAATTGTATTTCCATATGTTAGAAGCTTTACTTTTTAAAGTGGAAGATTTTTTTTTTAAGAAAATGATTTAGTTGTTTATTTGTAGTGATTTTAAAGAATACACATGTAGAAAATTTCTCATGCACTTATATTTTTGTTTGTAAGGAATCCCCTAACATAGGCATATTTACTTTGTTGAGATTAAACATCCAGAATATAGAAAGTCAATTAAAAAAGCCCAGCAGGCTGTAATAACTGCCAGTGAAACCTTTGCAGTTTGTCCTTTAGGAAGATTTTTTTTTGGTTACTTTTACAGATATGTTCACTTCAGGAGCAGTTGTTAAATGGTTGTTTATGACTGAAAGTCGAGGTAGTGTACTGAAACTGCATAAAGTTAGTGAAGATTACGTTGATGAACTTTAGTGTATTTTCTCTGTGAGCTTCTCCATCCCCATGCATGTCTGCGGTGGGGCTCAGGGATCTATATCTGGGCAGGGGCCTGAGCGTATTGGCTCAGACTGCTGTAAGCTGGCAGCTTCAGGAAGCACGGGTCGAGTGAAACTGTCTAAGTCTACACTTAAGGCATTAGAAACAGAGAGGGAAATTTTGCCAGAGGTCAGAGCAAGTTAATGACAGACTTGGGATCAAAATCTAGGCCTGTGAACTCCTGCCCTCTCTACTGGAGAGAAATAAAGAGAGTGGCATGGTTCTGGCGGAGTTAAGTTTTGAGGTACCAGGAGGGCTCTGGCCAGTAGACCACCAGGAATGCCAACTTCAGAAGTAAAAGGAAAAACAAAACTGGCTTCAGAATTTTCTTTAGATTGGACCCTGCTGCTATAAATAAATCAAATTGTATGTTTATCTACTTACCTGTTTGTCTTCTTCATCTTGTAAAACACTGATTTGTAGTGACTCCTTCCCTGTGCTAGTTTGGTATCTTAAATGTGAATTCATGTTAATTTGAAGCAAGCCAATAAAAGACAATGACATACTTTATGCATAGATGTAACCGGATGTCTCTGGCAGGCTCTGTGACACGTTGTAGGGACTCATATATTTGAAAGGGGAACATTCTATATTTTGATTTTGAACAATATTGAAATAAATACTTTGAACTTCTTAAAATGTTTCTGACTTTGCAGTTAGAGAAACCACATTATCTAGTTGTCTGACTTTGAACAGCATCCAGCCAGTATTTAAACCATGTGTGTCGTGTGCAGGCACGATTAGTCACCAATAACACACCAGAACAACAGAAATATGTTACCTGCCACTGTGTTCTAGTGTCGTTTAAGCACTCAGGGCCTCAGCTTTCTTAACTTTAAAATGGGATTTTTTCCACTTCCCAGGTTATTGAGAGGATTCAGTTTAGATGATAATGTAAGAAGACCAACACTGCATATAATTTAGTGATTTTTATTCAGAATTTATTTATTTCAAAATAACTGTGTATAGGTGTAATATACATATGTGCATGTATATTCATGAGCCATTTTTAACTAGGGCAGCATGAGAAACTACATGTACCATATACTAAAACTGCAGGTGCTGAGTACCGGAAAGACAGTAGAACAACCATTTCTTTCATAGTCCGTGAATAAGCAGGATAGGAATAGTATGGCAATTTGAGGTTGTTCTGTCTAATCTTTCAGTGTTTGATGTAGATTTATATATATCCACATACATTTGCATGTGCACCTATGTTTCATATATATATTTACAGTACATATACTTGTTAAGCTCATTAAATCATCTTTCTTTCCTTATTTAGACGACTAACCGGTCATTTCACTGCTTTTGTAAAAAGTCCACGGTGGTTTCTCAGCTTAGAAGAAGTTAGTATAAGCATTATTCTTTCTATACTAAAAAAAAAACAGGTTTGGATTCTTAAAATTCTTTTCCTTAAAACCTTATTTTGTAGACTTATCTTGAATATTTGGTTCCTGAGACTAAAATTTTTTGTGGTTAATGTTAGATAAGAAGGTATTCATTTATATGTAAGCAGGTTTCAACAAAGGTGCTGTTGGTATTTGGGCTGAACAGTTCGTTTTTTTTAGTAGAAGTTTGTCCCACACCTTGTAGGCCGTTCAGCCTCTTGTGCGAAAGCTAGGAGTTGGCAAGTCTACCCACAACTTAGAATATTCTCCATGTCCAGATGCCCCAAGGAGAGATGGAACCTAGTATCCCTGTTGAAACAGGTTTTTTTTTAAGTTTTTTAAATTTATCTGACAGTCACAGTTACAGAGGGAGAGGGAGAGACAGAGACAGAGGACTTCCATCAGCTGGTTCACTCTGCAAGTGGCTGAAATGGCCTGAGCTGAGCAAGAGGCTTCATCTGGGTATCCTACCATGGTGCAGCAGCCCAGACACGTGGACCATCTTCTGCTGCTTTTCCCAGGCCATTCGCAGGGAGCTGGATCAGAAGTGGAGCAGCTGAGACTCCAGCTGGCACCCATATGGGATACTGGCGTCGCAGGCGGTAGCTTTACCTGCTGTGCCACAGTGCTGGCTCAGGAACAGTTATTTTTAAAAAAGATTTATTTATTTATTTGAAATTCAGAGTTACAGAGAGAGGGTGAGACAGAGAAAGAAATCTTCCATCTGCTGATTAACTCTCCACAAGGGTGCTGGCCCTGGAATTAGCATTTTCTGCTTTGATTTTGTAGATAACAGAGTATGTAAGAGCCAATGAAAACAATACTCTTAGGAGTATTTGGGGGCCCGGCACTGTGGCATAGCAGGTTAAAGCCCCAGCCTGCAGCGCCGACTTCCCATATGGGCACTGGTTCGAGTCCTGGCTGCTCCTCTTCCAATCCAACTCTCTGCTATGGCCCAGGAAAGCAGTAGAAGATGGCCCAAGTCCTTGAGCCCCTGCACCTGCGTGGGAGACATGGAAGCAGCTCCTGGCTCCTGGCTTTGAATTAGCTTAGCTCTGGCTGTTGCAGTCATTCAGGGAGTGAACCAGTGGAATGCAAGACTGTTCTCTCTCTCTCTCTCTCTCTCTCTCTCTCTCTCTGCCTTTCCTTCTCTCTCTGTGTAACTCTGACTTTCAAATAAATAAAATAATTGTTTTTTTAAAAGAGTATTTGGGCCAGGCTGAAGCCAGGAGACAGGAGCTTCTTCCGAATCTTCCACATGTGTTGCAGGGGCCTGTGCACTTTAGCCATCCTCCACTGCTTTCCCCAGGCCATTAGCAGGGAGCTGGATTGGAAATGGAGCAACTGGGTTTGGAACTGTTGCCCATGTTGTATGTCATTGCAAGTAGTGGCTTAACCTGCCAATGCTACAACACTGGTCTCTGGAACGGTTCTTACGCATAATTAGTTAAAAAATTGAACATGAGTTTTTTTTAAAGGTAAGAATTTAATACAATAATTTAAGTAATATTTAAATTAATGTATTTATTATTTTTATATGTACTTGATTCTTTTTTGTTGTTTTTTTTGTTTTGTTTTGTTTTATTTTCCATTTTTTTTTTTTTTTTTTTTTTGATGGGTAGAGTTATAGACAGTGAGAGAGAGAGACAGAGAGAAAGGTCTTCCTTCCGTTGCTTCACTCCCCAAGTGGCCACTATGGCAAGCACTGTGCTGATCGAAGCCAGGAGCCAGGAGCTTCCTCCTCGTCTCCCATGCGGGTGCAGGGCCCAAGCACTTGGGGCATCCTCCACTGCCTTCCTGGGCCACAGCAGAGAGCTGGCCTGGAAGAGGAGCAACCAGGACTAGAACCCGGTGCCCATATGGGGTGCTGGCGCTGCAAGGTGGAGGATTAACCAAGTGAGCCACTGTGCCGGCCCTATACTCAATTCTTTTTTTTTTTAAACTTTTATTTAGTAAATATAAATTTCCAAAGTACAGTTTATGGATTACAATGGCTTTTTCCCCCCATAACTTCCCTCCCACCCGCAACCTTCCCATCTCCCGCTCCCTCTCCCATTCCATTCACATCAAGATTCATTTTCAATTATCTTTATATACAGAAGATCAATTTAGTATATATTAAGTAAAGATTTCATCAGTTTGCACCCACACAGAACATAACGTGTAAAATACTGTTTCAGTACTAGTTGTAGCATTAATTCACATTGGACAACACATTAAGGACAGAGATCCTACATGAGGAGTAAGTACACAGTAACTCCTGTTGTTGACTTAACAAATTGACATTCTTGTTTATGGCGTCAGTAATCTCCCTAGGCTGTAGTCATGAGTTGCCAAGGCTATATGGAAGCCTTTTGAGTTTTTCGACTTTGATCTTATTTAGACAAGGTCATAGTCAAAGTGGAAGTTCTCTCCTCCCTTCAGAGAAAGGTACCTCCTTCTTTGATGGCCCATTCTTTCTACTGGGATCTCACTCACAGAGATTTTTCATTTAGGTTTGTTTGTGTTTGTTTGTTTGTTTGTTTGTTTTTTTTTTTTTTTTGGCCAGAGTATCTTGGCTTTCCAAGATAGTCTCATGGGCTCTTCAGCCAGATCTGAATGCCTTAAGGGCTGATTCTGAGGCCAGAGTGCTGTTTAGGACATCTGCCATTCTATGAGTCTGTTGTGTATCCCGCTTCCCATGTTGGATTGTTCTCTCCCTTTTTTATTCTATCAGTTAGTATTAGCAGACACTAGTCTTATTTATGTGATCCCTTTGACTCTTAGTCCTATCATTATGATCAATTGTGAAATGAAACTGATCACTTGGACTAGTGAGATGGCATTGGTACATGCACCCTTGATGGGATTCTTAAAAAGTTGACTTGATGTAGTTGTGGTGTCATTTGATCTTTATGTGTTGGTGCCAGGGCCTGCACAGTTGGTGGTAGATGTATCTCTAGTGTTGGTTAACTGGAACCCTGAGGGGTGTTTTTTCACAGGCACTGAATGAGACCAAACATGGCTAAAAAACAGGGTTTTATGGCATACATTTTAAATGATTTTCTTTGTTATGAAGTTTAGACGTCTTAAAAAAACCTTTCTGGCTAGAACACCTGGCCCCTTCTGGGATCTGCCAGTTCCTAGAGACAGCAGAGGATGATGCTGCGTGCACATGTTTGATATGCAGCCAACCAGCTCATCAGCACACGGCCTCTCCCTGGTCAGTACACCATTTCAGGACCAGGCAGCAGGCAGGTGGGGACCACCTCTCTAGCGCACTGGTCACTGAGCTAGTCCAGCTAGCTGGCCCCCCGCTGTTTGTTGTATCCTGCCTTGCCTTGCCGTGGAGTCTCTGGTAAAGGCCTCGCCGAAGCCCTCCTGGTGCTCCCGTTCTCTGCCTCCCTAACTAACACCTGCTGTTGTCTCGGTGACCCTGTGTGGCCTGCAGTGCCACTCCGTCGCTTTAGAGCTGTGAGACTGGGGCACTGGGGCCTTTTCTGCGTCCTCTTGTGCTACACCTGACTGGTCATCACCCAGAGAACGCTGAGCAGGAGTGGTGCATGTTATTTAGGAATCGCCATATCTGAAATAAGCCGTTACAAATTTGGACACAATTAACTCTGCTTCAGGAGTTTGCCCAACTTCTCATTTTTGTTGCTTCTCTTTCTATTGCTGTATAGCTCGTAACCCTACTTATTTTGTTGTATGTACTGGAGAACTGTTTTGTTCAGAATTCTGCAGGCCATTCAATAAAACATCAAATACATGGGCAGATTTGGCTGTGTTCTTCATTTTAATGTGTATAGGTTTTCTGTTGTTTCTAACTGAAGGGTATTATAAAACTTACATGAAGAAATAGCTAAGTAAAGAAGTAAAGAACCTGAAGTTCTAACAGAAAGTTCCCAGGATAGTGGTTGTTATTGAAAAGTTCATTTTTTTCTAATGTAACACAGACCAGAAGGAGAGCATTCATGGCTTCTGGGTCCTCTGGATCGATCCTTCCTTCCTTCCTTCCTTCCTTCCTTCCTTCCTTCCTTCCTTCCTTCCCTCCCTCCTTTCTGTCTGTCTGTCTTTCTGTCTGTCTGTCTGTCTGTCTGTCTGTCTTTTCTGGCACAGTTAGACAGTTGAGAGAAAGAGACAGAGAAAGGTCTTCCTTTAGGTGATTAACCCCCCAAATGGCTGCTACGGCTGGTGCGCTGCGCCGATCCGAACCCAGGAGCCAGGCACTTCCTCCTGGTCTCCCATGCGGGTGCAGGGCCCAAGCACTTGGGCCATCCTCCATTGCCTTCCCAGGCTACAGCAGAGAGCTGGACTGGAAGAGGAGCAACTGGGACTAGAACCCGGAGTACCGGCGCTGCAGGCGGAGGGTTAGCCTAGTGAGTCGCGGCGCCAGCCATGGGACCTCTGTATTCTTAATGTGTGACTCAGTCTGTGCCGCGTGATTGCTCCATTTTTTGCCATCTCCCAGCTGGCAAGAAGAGACATTCCTGGGAGTGGGGAGTGGTCTAGCTCAAGTCCACCCAGGCCAGAACTCAATCACCTGGCCACGCGGAACTGAGAGAGAGGCTGGGAAATGCTGCCTCTAGCTGCAGCCATTTTCAAACGTGGGTATTCAAACGAAGGGGACAGTGGGTATCGATGGACAATTAGGAGACCCTGCTATAAATACATGAGCTTACATAGTTTCTGAAGAACATGATTATCACTTCAGTACCACAACATGGGTGAAAGTGTCATTTGAAGTTCAATGTCGCAGTATGTGCTACTAGACATGTCTTTTGAAATTGGATTAAAACTTGGGTTAACTGGCCCCAGACCTCTTGGAGACTTGTTTGAATGTGATTCCCTCCGCACCCATATTCCCTCCCTCTCAACCATACCATACACACACATAGTTTGTGCATCATTTGTTTGTGTGTGAAACACACACTCATTGAAGGCTAACTGTGTGAGGCTATGGCTATGCTAAATGATGAAAATACATTTGTGTTTAATCTTTGTTCATGTATATAACTGTGACTCCCATTATCTTGAATGTTCAAAAATAGAAGATGCTTTTAAGATTTAGCACTTGATAATCCTCCACCTTGCGGCGCCGGCACACCGGGTTCTAGTCCCGGTTGGGGCGCCGGATTCTGTCCCGGTTGCCCCTCTTCCAGGCCAGCTCTCTGCTATAGCCAGGGAGTGCAGTGGAGGATGGCCCAGGTGCTTGGGCCCTGCACCCCATGGGAGACCAGGAAAAGCACCTGGCTCCTGGCTCCTGCCAGGATCAGCGCGGTGCGCCGGCTGCAGCGGCGGCCATTGGAGGGTGAACCAGCGGCAAAAGGAAGACCTTTCTCTCTCTGTCTCTCTCTCACTGTCCACTCTGCCTGTCAAAATAAAGATAAAAAAAAAGAAAGAGATTTAGCACTTGATTGATTTATTTATTTGAAAAACAGAGTTAGAGAGAGAGAGAGAGAGAGATGGAGAGGTAGAGAGAGAGATGCTCTTTTATCCACTGGTTTACTTCCCAAATGGCTGCAAGACTGGAGCTGGGCCAGTCCAAAGCCAGGAGTGTCTTGCAAGTTCTTCCATGTGGGTGCAGAGGCTCAAGCCTTCTGCTTTCCCAGGTGCATTATCAGGGAGCTGGATTGGAAGTAGAGCATCTGGGACTTGAACTGGCGTCCATCTGGGATGCCCACAATGCAGGCGGTGGTTCTACCCGCTACACCACAGTGCCGGCACTGAATTTAGCACTGTATGCTGTGACCTAAAAGGTAGATACCAAATTATGTAAGAGCTATAAAAATAATACTTTTAAAAGCATTTGATGTGTTTGGATTTGTGGAGTCCATATTTAATGTAACATCTTGTGAATTTTTCCCCTGCATACTTGTGAATAATGAAGATAAACAAAACAGTTATGAAAAGATGATAATGTCTTGATGAAACAGAAATTCCATCTTTGAACTCAAAACCAGAGTTATTCATTTGTTAGTTAGATAACAGTTCCTCAAGATTACGTTCCTCATTGTAAGTATCTTTACTCACTGTAAGCTTATTAGGGGATACCTGAATCTTCCTACAAAGTGGATCTTTGGAAATGTAAATGACGGTGTGCTTATATGGTGAACTAATCAACAAAAATATGAAACAGTCTTTATTATATTTGATAAGTTCGGTGAGTACTTGGGTAGAGATTAATGTTTCCCACCCTTTGTACTGGCGTGGAGTTCCATCTTTGTGCCAACTGTATTGAATTTGTGAGATTTTAGGCCTTAGCATTAGTAAGAATGCTTGTTTTTTTTTTTTTATCTTCACTCTGTTTTTGCTCATTTTTGTGTAAAATGACAAAATTCAGAGAAGTGTTATGATATGGATATGAAGAAACACTGTTGTCCAGTGGTGGCGATTGTGTGAGGCTGAGGTTCTGCTGGGAGGTGTTACCACCATCCGGCAGCTGCCGTGTGCAGAAACACGAGTGTGAAAGCTGCTGCTGCCCACCCCGTGTTCTGTTACCACTATGACCAGGGCCAGTTAGTTCCAGTCTTAAAAAACGTTTCATTGATCTATTTTTATTTAATATAAAATATAATACATGTTGGAAAAATGTTAGAAATTCAGAAATACCAAGTTGTACTACTCCTCATTTTCATTCTTTTGAATATACTTATAAAGAAACATATTAATTTATATATTTATTAAGTTGTTATTTCTTCCAAAATTCCCTGTAGTTTTTTGCTTAGGCTACAGATGTTGACACGCTGGACTTTTCTGCATTAAAGTTGATTTAACATTGCCACAGATTACTATAATTCATGGGAATCTTTTACATGTTCATGATATTAAATCTCTATTCTGGTTTGTCATTCACTTGTTCTTTCTGAAATATGGTCTATTTTTTCAGCATTCCAGAAGTTGAAAATTTCCAACCAAATTTGTTTAAAAATTGGATCTTTTTTATATCCTGTAATGCTCAGAAATTACTCCCTGTCTTGGGATGATAAAAAGTTTTTCTTACTTTATAGCATATATTTAACTCTTAAAATACTTGCAATTAATTTGGGTGTGAGATGAGCCACAAATAATTCTTTTTTCCCTCAAAGAGGTTAAATAATTTATCAGCGCTCATTAGTGAGTAACGGTTTTCTCTTTATTCATAGTATTTTTTTACAAGAAGTTTTCTTTATCCAGGTGAAAGCCAGAGTTACAGAGAGAGGGAGAGACAGAGAGAGCTCTGCTGGTTTACTCTCCAAATGGCTGCAACGGCTGGGGCTGGGCCAGGCTGAAGCCAGGGTCCTGGAACTCAAACCAGGGAAGTGGAATGGGAATTGAAGTACCTGGGACCGGAACTGGCAACCGAATGGGATGCCAGTGTTGCAGGCAGCGTCTTAAGCTACACTATACCACTGTGCTGGCTCTATGATTTCATTTTATTTTAAATGTATGCCGTGTTTGCTATATGTACTAGATTAAACATGAACCCTAATAAGATTGTATCCCATAATAACGAAGAAGTTAACATGAAATGATGGTCAGGAAAGAAATTTTGTATTTCTGTTTTTAGGTAGGAGTTTTGGTTTCACAGTTCACTTAACATGTGTTTGACTGTTGATTACTTTCTTATTTGAATACAGTGGTACAAAAAATCAGTGTGTTTCCATCTGTGTATTTGTTAGTATCACTTTCTGCTCTGAAACTAGATGAAATACTAAATACAACACGGAGTTGATCATGAAATTAAATATTTCCTCAGTAAAGACTATTGTTGCTGAATAGTTAGAAGCAAAAACGTATGCTTCACTTCAATATATTATGTGCTCTTTCCTCCAAAAGCATAATTTTACATATTATATCTTTAAAAATTAATTACTGACAAAATCTGACTTTTTTTCTTTCTTTTTCAAGGGAAAAATTTATACACAAATGAATATGTGGCAATTAAACTGGTAAGTTTATGTTTCTTTTTCCTTAATTGGTTCCTTGTTATTTCCTTAAAAGGGAAAATGATGTGCATAACTGATGTTTTGCTAATTAGCTTCTTCACATCATTCTGCTCTTCACATGCAGGTAGGATGTTGATGATTTTCTCTGCCACAAAAATCAGTCTTTGTACTTGGCCAGTATTGTAGACTTCAGTTTGTGAATTTGGGCATTATTTTTTTGATTAAGGGATACGTTTTTAATTTTGTGAAAATTAAAAAGCAGTACCTCTCTGTGATTCAACCATTTGGACACTGCAGTGTGGTCCTTTTGACTTAGGATTGCATCTTCTAAAAACATATTTCCAAGAACTTTCTCTGATTTCTTTTTCTGGTGGTATGGTTGGCCATTGCTTGGCACCCAGGGCTTCAGAAGTCCTGGATATGGGTTGGGGTAGCAGGGAAAGCGAACTCCTGTGCGATTGTTCTGAAGTCCTACGTGGCCAGCATGGCAGTTGTGCAGCAGAGAGATCTGTGGGATTAACCGGGCCCAGGGATTGTTTTTCTGTGATGTACTTTGTTCAGGGACATATTTTCTCTCTGGCTTGCCGGCTTGATTTTCCCATTTGTCCTGCTTTTGTCAATGTTTGTGCCCTTACAAGCTCAGATAGTAGGGTGATGTGAATTAAAAGAGGCACCAGTAGAGGAAGGGGCAAGTGAGAGAGAATAGAATACCTTTTGAGATGAAGTGAAGAAACTGTGCTACTCAGTTTTAAATGTCTGTGAATGTAGGCCCAGTGTCAGTGAAGTAATTACTGTTTATTTTCACTGGGAAATAAAGATGCACAGCAGGTGTTGTGGTAACATGGGGAGAGCCTGGCTGGATGACATTTGAGTTCCAGCTGGGCTTTTCCTAGATAAGTCAGTGTTGTAAGGGCTGATCCTTGGCTTTCTGACGCAAAGTCTGGGTGAGTGATCCCACCAAGACTGCCATGTTTCTGATGGGTGGATTCATGGTATTCTTTCACAATAATCAGTTCACAGTCCAGTGCTCAGGGATTTAGTAAGTATTCAGGAAAAGAGTTAAATTTCTAATTATGATGAGGCAAAATAAAGTGTGTTCTTCTGTAGTCTGATCTACTTAGAGAGCCATGTGAAAATTACAAGCTTCCTTCATGTGTGTGACATCAGGACAAAGGGAGTGTGTATGAATATTGATAAAGCAGCCCAGGATACAGGGGTTGACAGTGTTTGAACCGGTGTTGCTCGCTTTCATTTCTTTGGAATTCTTCCTTTTCCCATCTTCTAGGCCAGTGGTCTTGAGTTTAGATACTGCGCAGCACTGGGGTGGGTGGAAGTGCCAGGATGGAAGTGTGGCAGTGGGTGTATCCTGTTACTGATGGAGGAGCCTGCAGAGAGGCGCTCCACTCCCGGGAGTAGGTCTTGTGTGTGAGTCAGCTCTGACTAGGATTGGAGGATGCAGTGTGTTCTGTAGTCATGGTCTGCTCAGAGTCATCCAAAGCATATGCTGGAAGTTCAGAAAACTCCATGAACTGTTGGACTGTAGTTTGTTAGTTTGCGTTTCCCTGTTATGTTTTTATTTGAATGAATTTTATGTGTTTGTAAGCATATAATTTTGTGCACAGCCTGCAACCAAAGTAATGAGTTAGAAATATTACTTTTGTATACTCTCAGTGGAATCTAATTTTTCTATGTTGGTACAAGTGAAGGCAGTGTTTGATAACATGGTGTTCAGAGAGCAGATTTCCTGTGACTGTTTTCAGCTTTGTCATCTCTTTTAAAGATTTTCACATTTATTTAATTTTACTCTGGTTCAGTTTGAAGGTTTGTTTCAGGGTAGTTTGTGGTTTTGACCTCATCCACCATTCTCATATCTTGCTGTGTGCAGTTACTTAGTAACTGGTTTTCATGAGTGATGAAAATGTCAGCTGGAGGTAAGGTGACTGTTGTTGTAGTGTAGTATATTGTAGTGTAGTAAAATTTTACTACTAGGAAGGTGCTGGAATCAAGTTGAAGTGACTCACTTGAGTCAGATCTGGGTCTCTATTTTTAATCTGGGGAATATTATTGATTGAATAAGTTAGATACATAATTTCACTTGTGATTGCAAAAGTGGGCATCTTTTTATTACATATTCAGTTTATGTACTTTTGGTAGTTAACTGAAAAATTGTGGGCAATAAAGCCCTTTGCAGATGATACCGTTTTAATTACTTTATACATATTTTGAGAAAGATAAAATTTTAACCTTATTTTATAGATGAGAGAACTGAAGAGTATAGATACATTAAGTAACTTGCTGAATATCACACAGCTAAGCAAATAAGTAGTGTTTTTTGAATTCAAACCTAGTACAGTTTAGTTTCAGTGTCTGCGCTGTTAACTGCTGTACTATCCTGCCTGTCAAGAACTAGGATCCTTGCTTTATTTTATAGTAATCTTTTTTTTTTAAAAGATTTATTTATTTATTTGAAAGAGTTACACAGAGAGAGGAGGGGCAGAGAGAGAGAGAGAGAGAGGTCTTCCATCTGCTGGTTCACTCCCCAGTTGGCCGCAATGGCTGGAGCTGCGCCAATTCGAAGCCAGGAGCCAGGAGCTTCTTCCCGGTCTCCCACGTGGGTGCAGGGGCCGAAGGACTTGGGCCATCTTCTATTGCTTTCCCAGGCCATAGCAGAAAGCTGGATCAGAAGTGGAGCAGCCGGGTCTCGAACTGGCACCCATATGGGATGCCGGCGTTTCAGGCCAGGGCGTTATCCCACTGTGCCACAGCGCCGGCTCCTATTTTATAGTAATCTTTATGATGATTGGTTTCCCAGTGAGAACTTCCTAGTTGCTTATCAGAAGTCTGCTGTTGGTCTGTGTGTGTTAGTATCCATTTCTTTTTAGTTATTCTGTTTGGGATTCATGTTTTTCTTCAATCTATGGTTTATCATCATCATCAGTTCTTCAGTATTCATAGAAATTATTTCTTTGGTTCCTACCTCTGCTCACCTTCTTTCCCCTGTCCTCCTGAGACTGTTATCCTGAGATGCATATTAGACCTTCTTGCTGTATTGTCATAAGTCTGTAATCTTTCTTTCTTTCTTTTTTTTTTTTTTGACAGGCAGAGTGGACAGTGAGACAGACAGAGATAAAGGTCTTCCTGTTTTTTTTTTTTTTTTTTTTGACAGGCAGAGTGGACAGTGAGAGAGAGAGAGACAGAGAGAAAGGTCTTCCTTTTGCTGTTGGTTCACCCTCCAATGGCCGCCACGGCTGGCGTGCTGTGGCTGGCGCACCACACTGATCTGAAGGCAGGAGCCAAGTACTTCTCCTGGTCTCCCATGGGGTGCAGGGCCCAAGCACTTGGGCCATCCTCCACTGCCTTTCCGGGCCACAGCAGAGAGCTGGCCTGGAAGAGGGGCAACCGGGACAGAATCCGGCGCCCCGACCAGGACTAGAACCTGGTGTGCCGGCGCCGCTAGGTGGAGGATTAGCCTATTGAGCCGCAGCGCCGGCCTGTAATCTTTCATATATGTGTTCTGTGTTTTTATTTTTAGAAAGATTTATTTATTTATTCGAAAGGCAGTATTAGAGAGAGGGAGAGACAGAGAGAGCGAGCGAGAAAGAACCAGAGAAAGAGAGAGAAACCTTTGATTCACTGTTCCATTCCCCAAATGGCTGCAATGGCCAGGGCTGGGCTAGGTCAAAAACCAGGAGTTTGGAGTTTCCTCCAGGTCTCCCACATGGGGCAGGAGCCCAGGCCCTTGGGTCACCTTCTGCAGCTTTTTCCAGGCTATAGCAGACAGCTGGAATGAAAGTGGAACAGTTGAGACTGAAAGTGATGCCCAAGTGGTATGCTGGCCTTGCAGGTGGAGGCCTTACTTACTGTGACACAATGCTGGCACCATCATTCATTTTCTTTATGTGTAATTTTTGTGGCTACCTTCTAGTTTCCACACTTTCTCTTCTGTTATGTTAATCTTCTGGCAAACTAAGTTTCTGATTTAGTTATTTATTTTTCAGTGTTCTTTTTTTTTTAATTTCTTATTACCATGTTATCCTTTCTTGTTGGTTCTTCCTTAAATTTTGTTAGCCTGTTGTAGTTTTCTGTTTCTTGCAGATATTTTCACTATTTAATATTATTTATAACATATGAGCTCTGTGCTTCTATTCATGTCTTTGTGTCTGTATGCATCTCAGACACATTTGTAAAACATATTGCAAGGTGTCCGGCGCTTTAACAAATCTTCCCAGGCAGATGAATCAATTAATTCACAAGCTTTTATTGGAATTCCGCTCCCGGGCGAGGTTCCCAGGTCCCAACAGAGCAACAGAGCGGGGGCCGGGGAAGTCGCGTGTCAGAGATTGGGAGAGCTCCTTTTATAGATTCAGGGCGTGGAGGTTAAAGGTTGAGGCAGGTCTGATCCTCATTGGTTGACCTTTAGGCACCCGTGGGGACCTTGACAAGGACTTTTCTTCCCCGGAAGTACAGATAGGGACTCTCCATTCCCAGAAGTGTAGGCCTTCTCTCCTTGTGGATTCCAAAGCTACCATCCCGACCTTTTTATGATAGGAAAGGCGGCGATGATGAGTCTCTCTGGCTACTTCCTGCTGATTGGGGACGGTGAGGTACTCTTCGCTGGCATGGGGCGATGTCTCAAGCCACTGTCTCCTGGGTGGGTAGCCAAGTATATCCCTGTAGCAGCATTTGGTTGACCACCTGGTTGCTGAAGGCCTTGATTCGTTTCATTATCACCTGCTGTAAACACTTAACTAGACACTGTAGTATACAAGTCAGGGTGAGAATAGCAACCAATGATCCTGAGTGGCATTAACCAGGTAATGAGAGGATTTCATAGAAGAGAAGAAATGGGCGGGGGGGGGTCTCTGGACCCTTGTGAGGATTGTTTGATGGATTCTTAAAATTTATAGAAGGCATTAGACCTTCTGGTAAATGTTTTCCTAAGTTGTTATCTAATGATTGAAACTGCTTTCTAAGTTTTCATTTGATATTGCTATTGTCAGTAAGTGATCTGGGACTGGCACCCCCATTTCTCTATTCTAAGTCCAGCTTGTTCTCTCATTTCTCTATTCTCTTCGAGGTAGGAAACTAATTCTATTCTGAAGGACTCTCCAAGACGCACAATTTGATTTTTAGATCTTATAAAAGGGATAGCTAACATTTTCTGTAATAATAACATAGCCAAAATGAGAGCTTAAATTATAATTTCACAGCTAGATTTACTTCACCATGGGCACAGTAAACAGGCAAGACCTCCCTTTCAGACCACACAAAGGGAAAGAAAGTTTTGAAGCGAGGACATAGCTCTCCCCATGAGCATGTCTACCTCAGAGAAAGCACTGTCAGACCTGCCCGTGACTGCAGACTTCTAGTTCAGGCCACAAAAATCAGAGATGGACTGAGCACCCCCGTGACTTGCATCCTCTGGTCTGCTTCAACAAAAATCAGGAGGAAAAGAAAGCCAGGCATCAGAAATGTAAAGATAGGTGGCAGGCCTATTAATGGCTGTTCTGTACAGTGATCTGCCCTCAAAGAGACCCAACAGGCCAGTCCACCTCCGTGGCTTTCGATGTGGTAAGCTTGGGCTTCAGCAGAAGTCAGCTTGTGAAGAGCCCTGGCAGCTCTGCCAGCCAAGAGTTGGATCACTGGAAATGGACCTGCCCTGGAGTCGAAGGATGCCCAGGTCAGAGCCACAGATCTTGCTGGCTCCAAGCTGAAAAACCCTTCACTCAGCCCAGCTTCCAAAGTGACCACCGCAGCCGAGGGGACAGCCAAGTAGGGTCAGCAACATTGCAGGCAGAGCTGTAAATTTCCCGTTAGAGTTGCTACCTGCCTTTACCTGGCCAGCTCTCCTCCCAGGTGAGGTAGGTAATGGAAGTCAACAGGGTGCCTTCCCCAAGGAGATTCGCACCTCCCTTAGGCTGTACCCCATGTGAAGAGATAGATAGGTCTGGGCCTCTTAACTTACAAGGCCTAAAGCCCACCAGATTATTATCAAGCCCCTTCTGTCAGTTTCTATTTGTCTCTCAATCAGAGAACTTATTTGTGGCTTACACAGCACCTTTCTTGGGTCCTCTAATAATGACTCTGTTCTTTGTTCTAGACCCTGTCTAGCCCACTTGGGTCTCATTCCTTTATAATTATAGCCTCTACTCTAACATCAATGTCTCTACTCCCAACCTGTGTGTACTGATGGTCCTCTCTCTCCTCCACTTAATGTTGTATGATTATTCAGAATTTCTCTACAGACAAACCCCTCTACCTGCAAAAGTTGAGTGGCCTTTCTCCCGGTCCTGGCTAGGATCAGCTTCAAACCATGTCCATTTGTTATGCGCCGAACACCTTGCACATATACTGCATAATATCATTTAGATGGTATGCAACATCAGGAAGAACTGATTCAAATGTGTTTACATTCAGAAGCCATCACCTCTGAGGGAGGGGTGGTGGCTATGCTCTGTAGTGTTTGTAGGACATGTGCAGTTTACAGAGCTCATGGATCTGACAATTAGGAACTGTGTGTTCTATTGCATGTAAGTTACAACTCAAAAAAAAAAAACTTAAAAAATATCTGAATTTCCATATCACCATTTTTGTTCTTTGTTTTCTATGACTTCGCTTTAACCTAGAACCTTCACATCAGGTGTATGCATTTCAGTTGAGGCACAGTAGGTTAAGCCACCCCTTCTGATGCTGGCATCCCATATTGAGATGCTGGTTTGAATCCCAGCTGCTCTGCCTCCCATCCAGCATCCTGCCCAAGTGCTAGGGCTCTTGCCATCCACATAAGAAACCAAGATGGGATTTCTGGTTTCTCACTTTGGCCTGGCCCATGTCTGCTGTTGTGAGCATTTGATGAATGAACCAGCAGATTGGAATAGCTCATTTCTCCTTTCCCCTCCCCTCCTCTTCTCTCCCTTCCCCTCCTCTTTTCTCCCCTCCCCCCCTTCTCTGTCTCTCTCTCATCATTCTCTGTTGCTCTTTCAAAAAAATGAATAATTTTTTTTAAAAAAGACATGCTGTTGAGTGTTAGGCATTAGGCTAGGGTTAAGACACTGGTGGAGATGCTGCATCCACATAGGAGTTACTTACATTCAATACATGTTTTGGCTACTGACTGTAGCTTCCTACCAATGCACTCTGTGGGAGGCAGTGATTGTGTTTCAAATAAGGGGAACCTGCCTTGCACTTGGGAGACCTGGATTGAGTTCCCACCTGGGGGCTCTCTGGGGGTACTGTGTGCATCTGGGGAGTGAACTAGCAGGTGGGAGCTTTTTCTGTGTCTCTCACTCTGTCTTTGAAATTAAAAAAGTAAACAGTTCACAGGTGATTTCCTGGGAACAGCAGTTACAGTGTTACTGGCACCATTTCCTTAGTTACCAAGGTACAAGTGTATTTTTCTTCACAAATTTAAACATAAGAATTCCTTCCTGCTTGTTCCTAACCTCATGCTTAGCTCCTTAACCTTATGTACGTTTACGAATGTCCTCAGTTTATTTTACTGTGAACATTTAGTTGATTTTTATATTGGTCGTCTTTCAGAGATACAAAGAATCTTGATGGAATATTATAGAAGAGTTGACACCCGAATTTAATACATTTTAAAGTGGGGCTTAGTTCTCTTGGTAACTTTTTTTTTTTTTTTTTTTAAATTAGGAGCCCATGAAATCGAGAGCACCACAGCTGCATTTGGAGTACAGATTCTACAAGCAGTTAGGATCTGGAGGTAAATCTTAAGTTAATGTTAAACTTTGGAACAAAGTGAATTATCACAATAAAAACTCGTAGTTTCAAGGAATAGTATTTTAAATTTGTCTAAGAAGAGTCACTTCTTAGGGCTTTTGCTTACTACAGATTTTCTTATTATAGTTTTAATGATTCCATTTTGTGTTAAATACAGTGAAATTGGAGGTTTTTTTTTTTTTTTCTTTGCTATTGCTTGTATGAATGGAGAACATTGTGGAAATAATTGCTGGGAGGACATGAGATGTAAATAGCTTCCAAATTCTTAGCCTTTTTGGCAGGACTATAGCTTAAGATATTGGTGGTGGGCTGAGCAGTGGCCCCATAGAAGATATCTACATCAGAATCCCTGGAACCTGTACATGTTACCGCATAGCACCAAAGACTTTGCAGCTATGACTGCATTGAGGACTTTGAGATGGGTGTTACTCTGAATTAATCAGGTGGACCGAAAGTGCAATCACAGCTCTGCTAGTGAGAGAGGGGCAGATGGGCATTCTGCCTACACGGAGAAGGAGAAGGCAGGAGAGCAAGGAGCAGAGATTGGAGTCATGTTGCCATTAACCAAAGAATGCTTGCAGCTCTGAGAACCTCTGAGAGGCTCTGGAATTCTTTCTAGTAGCAAATGAACATAAGTATATTTTTGCATAAATTCTTCAGTGATATTTTGTGCCATTGGAAAAAAAATTAAAGCAAATCTTTTCTACTGTATGTTGCATTAGCTCTGTGTTTCTTTACACTCTTATTCTATTAGTTGTAATGATTTTCTTTGTATAATCTTTTATAAAATACGGGTAAAGGTATTTTGTTTCTGCAGGTTTAATAAAAACGAATTTCTTCCTGTATCTTTTTGTAAATATGTTTACATTTTTGTCGGTGAAGCTGTTCATTTGTTAGTGCGGATATTGATTTTGTACTCTAATTTTCCAAAAGCCGTATGTTTTCCAGATGGGCAGTCATTTCGGGGACAATAACTTTGAGATTCTGAAATAATATATTTATCAGTATAGACTTCTTACACTGGATTTTTTTTTTATATGTATAGTCACAGTGGATATTTTAATTTGGATACAGATGGGCCTTGGGGAGTTGTTAAAGTTATCATTGATAGAACTAAGATTTAAAGGATATGGGCTGAAACTAATTGAATGTGAAACCCTACACATTAGGACTAGCAAGTAAGGGGGGTGAGATTTATTGACTCATTATTGAAATTTTCAGGAAATAGCCAGACATATGAGACAGCCAGAGCTTCGCATGCTGTCTCATCTTGAGCATCTGATCTCCTTTTTCCGTGTAAGCTTCTCTGAGCTTGGTCCTTCTTGGGACATGGCAGCAGTATGGCCGTTAGTGGTCTAGGTTTGGCAGTTAAAAAGCCACTCTTTCCTGAAAGTTCCAGCAGAAGCTCCAGGACTGAATGTCGCTCCAGTGTGCTGTGTGCTGCAGTTGCCTTGACTGCATCCCTCGGAGCAGGATTGCTCAGGGCTAGCTCACCTGCGCATCAGCCCAGAGCTGCCTGCACTCGGGACCTGAGCGTGGAGGGGGTGCAGTGGCTGCTTGGTGGGAAAGGGAGGTGTTATCTGCTGGGAGATGAAAACAACACATCTGTCTTCTCAAGTAGTAGATTATCTCTTGGGAAAATAGGATGGAATGATTTAATTATTTGAGAATGAGTAAATCAGTCTGGAGTTGTTGATCTGAATAACAAAAGTGCTCATTGCATTATTTTAATCTTTCCTGTTTTAAGAATTCTGTCAGTTAGTAATAATAAAAATGGGACATATATCTTTTAGTACTGCAGTGCTGCGCTGTTACAGGTAGCAGCATTTACTGGGTGGTCCTTGTATGTGGATTGCACCCCTATACTCCATGGGTGTCAAGCATGAAGAATGAAATATGGATAGTCTTTCCAGAAGACATGTATTACAATGGCCCTGAAACTAACAACTGTGAGATTAAACTACCATTTAATCTCAAATATTGCATATGTGTATATGGGGATTGAAAGCAGAATTCCAACAGAAAATTGTACACCAATATTCCTGGCAGTATTGTTCACAATAGCCAAAAAGGTGGAAGCAACCCAGTTGCCCATTATCAGGAAAACTGGCAAACAGAAGTAGTATATACATATGAAGGAATATTATTCAGCCTTCAAAAGGAAGGACATTTTGAGATATGCTATATATATGGATAAAACTTGAGGATATTAAACTAAGTGCAGTAAGCCAGTCACAAAAGAACAAATGTGCTTAAGTTCCACTTATATGAGATACCTAGAGTAATTAGGTTCATTGAGGCAGAAAGTGGAATGGTGGTTTCCAGGGACTTGGTAGGGAGAGGAGGTAGACAGGAGAAGTGAGGAGTCATCGTTAATGCATGGGCATTTCAGCATAGAATGATGCAAAGGTTCTGGAAATGTGTAAGGCTGATGGTTGTACAATAATGTGAATGTGCTTAGTGTCACTGAACTGTACGCTTAAGCAGTTAAAATGGTAAATTCTATGTTAGTGTATTTGCCACTAATAAAAATACAAATTAAAAATCAGTTTATTTAGAGTTATTTAGTGAAATATCTGTGAATAAATAAGCAATTTGTCCGGTTCTGCCTTGTTGGGCTTTGGTCTTGCTGTTAGTCCATATGTCTCTGTTTGCCTTTATGTAACTCTCTTACTTGTTCAATGAATTTGTTATACACGTGATGTTTTCAAAAAGTTCAGGGGAAATGTGTATTGTAAAAAAAAGAAACATATGTATGGGTTTAAACTTTCTTTGGTACAAAATAATCTTTTCTTTCTGTTTTCTGTGTATTTTTTGCAGTATTCTTACATAGATATGGCACTATCATAACTTCATACAGCAAATATTTGATGTATTTAATATGTTGAATAGTCTTATCTGTCATATCTATTCAGTGTTCATTGAATAAAGTAAAGATTCAGGTTTGCAAGTCAAGAGCACATAGATTATTTATTCATTTAATTTATTTGAAAGGTAGAGTGAGAAAGAGACCCAGCAACGGTCAGAGAGATACCAGAGATCCTCCATCCACTGATTCATTCCCCAGGTACCTGTGACAGCTCAGGCTGGGCCAGGTTAAAGCCGGGAGCCTGGGACCTAATCACAGTTTCTTGTGTGGGTGTCACGGACCCAAGTACTTGAGCAATTATCTGTTGCCTCCTAGGGTGTGTATTAGTAGGAAGCTGGAATCAGGAATGGAACTGAGACTTGAACCTAGACGCTCTGGTGTGTGATGTAGACATCCCAAGGCTTCTTTTTTTGTTGTTTTATTTTATTTTTTATTTATTTGAAAGTTAGAGTTACAGAGAGAAGGAGAGACAGAGAGAGAGAGAGAGAGAGAGAGAGATCTTCCATCCACTGATTCGTTCTCCAAATGGCTGCCATGGCCAGAGCTGGGCCAGGCTGAAGCCAGGAGCCAGGAGCTTCCTCCAGGTCTGCCTGCAGGGGCCCAAGCACTTGGGCCGTCTCCTGCTGCTTTCCCAGGTGCATTAGCAGGGAGCTGGGTGGGAAATAGAGCATTGGGGTTTGCTGCAATGCCTGCTTTCATAGATTCTTTTTAAAGCTAAGAGAGTGGACGAGACATTTAGGGGAGAGTTAAGTATAGAGAAGCAAGGACGCTTTCTACTAGGACCTCTGAATTGAGTAGGAATGATTTTGGCTCTCAGTGACAAATTATGAGAGGTGCTTAACCAAGTAAAGGGATGTTATGTGAAATATAAGCATATGAACAAGCAGTTCTGAAGCAGGTGATGGTAGGTTGGGATAGGGACTCACACATAAGGAACCAGGCATCTATCCTTTGTGTGCAGCTTATATCCTACAATCCTGGATCTTTTGTAATAGGAGAGAGGGAAGAGAGAATGCAATGATTATTTTTATAAAGATAATTTCTAATTATTTGCTTTCTGACTCTGTTCTTAAATCTAACCATGCATGAATGTCCCTCCTGGAATCAGAAACTTACTATTTCTATAAGTGAATTCTCCACCTGCTTTTTTTGTTTATTTTTCCATTGATTATTCTCTGTTAAAAGGCTTGCTTAGAGGCTGGTGCCATGGCTCACTTGGTTAATCCTCCGCCTGCGGCACCGGCATCCCATATGGGCACCGGGTTCTGGTCCCTGTTGCTCCTCTTCCAGTGCAGCTCTCTGCTGTGGCCCGGAAGGGCAGTGGAGGATGGCCCAGGTGCTTGGGCCCCTGCACCCGCATGGGAGACCAGGAGGAAGCACCTGGCTCCTGGCTTCAGTTTGGCGCAGCGCTGGCCGTAGCAGCCATATGGGGAGTGAACCAATAGAGGGAAGATCTTTCTGTCTCTCTCACTGTCTATAACTCTGCCTGTCAAATAAATTAAAAAAAAAAAAAAAAAAAAAAGGCTTGCTTAGTCTCTGCATTACCTGTTGGAGACTCATTGTTAATCTCTCTTGATTTTGGCCCTTTGGTGTAGTCAGAACATTCTGTGACTTCTCTCTCTTAAGATCTTTCTGGACTTCACTCTCTTCTTGCCGTCCTGATTGTCACATTTCTTTGAATTGGCTTCTTTATCATTGGGCATCTTGCCTCCTCCTTACCTTCACTTCCTCTTTGGGGCTGATCAGTTAACACAAAGTCCAAATTTTCTTCTTTCTACTGACCTGCTTTTTAGTTGTACTAAATTACTACTACTAAATCCTACTGTTGTCCATCTCTATGATTTTCATTGTAAACTTCTTTTCTCAATGAATTCCTTCCTTTAAGCTAGATGTCACCTGCTTTGTAATGTATTTCCTGAGGTTTGTTCTTTCCTCCTCAGGAAAGCAGCTGCTACTTCTGATCTGATGTTATTTTGAATAGACCTGTGTTTTCCTCCTACCACAGAGGATATTATTACTGTTTATGTTTGTTTCCTTCACTGAATTTTGAACTCTTTGAGGGCAGTAGGAATGATATGTTTGTCTTTTTCTCTTTGAAACTTAGCCAGATGATT